GGCAGGAGGTGAGCGAGTATTAGGTTACTCTCTAGGCGGGAACAGGGGCATGCTGGGAAGAAGGGTTTGTTCTTTGGTGGGAGCAGCCATCTTGGTGTGACGTCACACAGGGGAGGGGGCAAGGCACCATAGAAGAGGGCAGCTACTATACATAACAGCTCCTGAGGTAGTGGGAGACCTATCATTCCAGGCTTGAGCCCAGCCTGGGCCTTCAGGAGGCCCTGGCCCAAAACAAGAAGGGCTGCAGATGTGTGGAGCTCATTGAGAACAGCCTGCTTTCAATCCCCAGCACTGTAAAAGCATTTTAAATATTTGAAAAATAAATAAAATTTAAAAATTACGCTGGCAGTGGTGGTTATTTCTTAGGAATTTTCCCTTGCTATTCCAGATCATAAAAAAAGATGCATATATAGTTCCGCTCAATAGTTTTCACTCTTCCCTAGCATTTGTGCGGAATAGGTAGTTACTTTTTACATTGGAATTTGGCCACCTTGAGTTTCATTCCAAACCACACTGACTGCTGTGACATTGGATAGTCATTAGATAGCAAAACACACACGTTTTGTAAGTCTGCCCTTTACTACACTTACTCTGGGGAAGTGCCATACATAAATTTCGGATTGACTATTACTATGCCTACAAAGCAGGATTACAACTAACAACATAGGGATCATTACCTTGTCCTGAATCTTTTCGCACTTGGAGCATTCAGCTGGAGTATCCAAGAACTGTAAAGTTCTGTTTTAGGGCTGGGGATTTAGCTCAGTGGCACTGTGCATGCCTCGCAAGCCCAAGGTCCTGAGTTCAATCCCTAGTACCGAAGGGGAAAAAAAAAAAAAGTTCTGTTTTAACCTCCTGGTCTGTAAGGTCTAATGCAATATCAGAGGCATTTAATTTAGTTTCTCCTATTAGTCCCCGGAGCTACTAGAAAGCATATTACCCATAGCGAAGAAGTATAAAAGCCTGCCTCTCCAGCTTCCCTGCTGTTCTCACTCTGTGTCACAGGGTGGCCTTCCAGCTGTCCCTGAACACGCTAGCAGGCTCCGTCCCATGCTGGGCCTTTAAACTTGACACCGCTTCCATGCAGAGGCTGTTTCCCAAGTCACTGTTCTCAGCCTTCCTTGGCCACTTGATTTAGAATGCTTCCAAGCCTTCCTTTCTCTCACATGTCCATCTCTGAAGGAGATTTGTGTTTGGAATCAGCCAAATCGGAATCTAAATGTCCTAATTTTTCCTGCTTAATTTATACTACTTTTTTTTTTTTTTCTCCATGTTTTGAGACAAGGCTTCACTGTGTAGTCCAGGCTGGGCTTGAACTCACAGCAGTCTTCGTGCCTCAGCCCACTGAGTGCTCATGTCCCAGGCATGCTCCACCATGCACTATTCCTTTAATAATCTGTAATGCCAGCAGTTCTTTTCTCATATCTATCATATATCTCTTCTGCCGTAACTTGTCATGAATTGCCAAAACTGATCTTTGGATAGTTTACAGTCTTTGTTTTAATTAATTATCAAGGCTACACTTCTCAAATGTGTTTGTACATTGATGGTTTATATGGAAACTAAAGGAGTTAAGAAGAATTGAGTAGATAATTTAGTAAGACCATACAAGAAGTCAGAGCTTAAACTGATTTGAGATTTAATATTGATATTTTTGTATAATTTGAATTTTAAAATGTGAAGTACCAAAGGTAATTATTTAGCCCAAAGTTTTAGAGACCTTGTCCTTTGATCAATATGAGTTCAAGAAAATCAAGACATAGCTAGCAGAAAAATAAAGAATAAGCTAACAGTTTCACCCCTTTTACAGATAGGAAATTGAAAAATAACTTTTTATTTTGTTAAGGCTAAATCACTTTCATTTGTATTTGTAGGAAGAATCAACATTGCAGTCTAGTAATCAGCCCTCGCAGGTAAGAAATTTTTCTCAAGTGCTAGGTTTTAAAATGAGTTAAAATACATTTAGATTATATAAGATCCTTAAAGCATTTTGAATAAATTCTACATTTTACTAAATACTTGTTTTATGTTTAAATTTTAAGTACTTCTGCAAATCTGCTTCTTGAGTTATGCTCTGAAATGTAGCATATCTTCTTTAACAGCAGTGAGGTCTGTTACTGGTTTAATATTTTTAAAATTATTAATTACATT